GGTGCTCTCAAAACCTCTAATGTGGGGTAAAAAAAGCAGATAAACTCTGCTCTTGGGAGCAGGTCATCATTTTGATGAAGAGTGAGGGATTGAGGGAATTTCAAAATAAGTAGGAAGGAAGCAAGGGAGGAGGGGGGGGAACTTAGAAATTACCTGCAGTATATTTACAGTAGAATGTTTTAATTGCTGCTTTTCCCCCATGAACCATGAAATCAGTGCACTGATTTTCATGTTTCAACACCCATATTTCTAAATCCTAAAATAAATATATGAACTGGGAGTGGGAAATATTCAAGAAAAGCTGGAATAGAGGCTTTTTTTAAAAAAGATAAAAGTGTTAATGGAAGGGAACATAGAAAAACTGAGGAAGAAGTCTTTGACTAGAGCATTCTGTGGGGGGTGATCAAAATATGGGTCACAAGAAAATGTTAGGATGAGATTTCATGAAATTATCTTGTGCTGCCACTTATTTCCCTGGTTCTTTTTGGTGATATTCGCATTATCTCACAAAGGTGTCAGGTGACTCCATAAAGCATTTCTGTGACATTAGTCTCGTCACAGAAACAATACCAGAACTTTTATGCTTCTATTAGACAATAATGAGGGGTGCTCTGTGCACTGAGCAAGAGGGTGACCTGGGCAGGTGCTGTCCTGCCCACCTGCATACCTGTTGTTTTGCTAACATTTTTTCTTTTATTTCTAATTCCATTTTTAACTGTCTTTCCAGAAGGGAGGCTTTCTTCGTGATTGTTGCTATAGTGACATCCTTCTGATGAAGCTCCTCTGTTAGGTCGCAGATCTCATGCCTCATTCTTTCCCGCTCAGAGCTGCGGTTCTCTTCCTCCTGATAGAGTTGGCTTCTTATCTGCAGCAGATATATTCCGGAAAATATTAACAAATCCTTTTATTTATAAAGCAACTTAAAGCTTTTTGAGGCATGTTCAGTCTTAAAACATTGGCAGCCCTATTTCACCCACCTTAGCTGATCAATGCGAAATTAAAAACACGTACTTACAATAATGGTTCATTTGAATTTTTCCTTCCAATTTCATATTTCCATTTCTCACTTCTATTTTCTATTATATGCAAATCATCACCTCTTACTGATATTACTTTGATACCTACTTTGATGGGAAGGTGGAGAAAGTATTATAGGATTTTTCCCCAGCTTTACTGAGTTATTAATTGGTATACAAAATAATTGCCCATAACTAATGTGTGCAGTTAGGGTACACACTTACAAATGTTGCTATCACCACAATCAAGGTAATACATCTGCCTCTTAACTCCAAAAGTCTCCTCATGTTCCTTTGTTGTTTTTAACTTTTTTGGGTGTGTGGCAACAACACTTAACATGAGACTACCCTCTTCACAAATTCTTCGGTGCACAATGCCTTAGTGTTAACTCCAGGCACTATGCTGTGTGGCACATTCTGGAACTTACTCATCATGTTTAACATAACTTCATACCCACTGAACAACTACTCCAGAGTGGTGTGGTGGAAGAGCACGGAGCCACAACTCAGAAGTTGAAGGACCAAGCATTTTTGGGAGCAGAAAAAAATGGCTAAGTGACTTGCTCAAAGGCATAAAGCTATTAACTGGCAGAGCAAGGGCTAGAACCTAGGACTCTTGGCTTTAAACTGAGTGCCTTTTGGGGGAACTAAATTGTGCTGTCCTGTTTGTAAATACACACTATGTTTTTTAGAATCATGTTATAATAAATTTCACACATAATATGTCCATGAAAATGTATCAGCTCCTCCCCTTAAGCCAGTGGACTCTCAGGTCCTTAATCACAGCTCAGCCTTCCACGTGAGGGACCTCTGGATCGCCTTGACTCCGTCCTGACCTTGGTCTCCCAAGTCCAGTCAGGCAGCAAATTCCGTCCCTTCTATTTCAACCTCTCTTAAATCTCACCTCTGCTCTCCATTCCTACTACTATTGTCTTAGTCCAGCCTCTTATTGTCTTTCTGGAAATCATTCATTGCCTCTAGATAAAGTACACAATCACCAATCTTAAAAAAAAATCATAGTCCACTGGGGGAAACAGAAAAATAAACAGTTATAACACAGTGTAGCAACGGATGTCAGTAGTAGGTAGTGGAGGGGTACTTAACCCCATGGGGATCTCAGGATAGGATTCCCAGAGGAGTGGACATCAGGTCAAATACTGAAGAATGAATGGAAGCCAGACAGAAGACAGAGATGCAGAAGGGCTCCCAGGCAAAGGATACAGTGAAGGCAGAGAGACAAGAGAGCGCACGTTTGGGGAACTGAAAGTGTTTGGAGGGGCTGGAATGTGGCATGTTTTGAAAAATAAAGCTGGAGAGTTTAAGTAGAGGCCAACCCACAGAGATTTATATGAATTTGCCACCAGGCACTTACTTTTAAAACTTAATTTTTTTTTCATTTAATCTTTAAACATAGGATATATCTTTGTGTATGTGTGTGTGTGTGTGTGTGTGTGTGTGTGTGTGTGTGTGTATAAGAGGCATAAAAGATATATTAAAAGGATAAGGGCACTTTTTTCAACATAGCCAGAATACCACTATAATGTCTTTAAAACATGAATAATAATTCCTCAATATCATGAAATATCCAGGCAGTATTCAAATTTAAAATTGTGTCACAAGTGTAATGAATGTTCTTTAAATTTATTTGAATTGAGACTGGCTCATACCTTCTTAAAGCGGCTCTTTTTGTACTACTCATACATGATCTCATTTAATCCCCACAGTATCTGTTTTTCAGATTAGAAAATTAAGGTACGCAGCTTTTCACAGTCACATTCCTGGTGACAGGCAGTCTGACTCCAAGACCTTACCAACCGCGCATGTAACCTCTGTGAGCAGAGCCCTAGAAGGTGGTTCCTAGGCAGGAAAGAGATACAGTGGGATGACCTGATGTGGAAAGCATGCAAGTCCAGAGGACAGGCTTGATCCATCCTCAGGCTTCATACCACCAGCCCCTCATTTGATTCTATTCTTACTACTAACATTTTTAGAATTTCAGAGTTGGACAGGACTCTAAAAATCACACAATCTAACCCCATCATTTAAAAGAGTGAAAAAAAACCCGACTCACATGGAAGGGAACTGACTGGGCCTAAGTTCTCCAGCAGCTTAGAGCAAAAGAGTAGCCTAGGAGACTGGGAGACAAATACCCTCACCCAGAGGACAGTGCTCCACGTCGCCTTCCATCTCCCATCTTCTCTCTCCCGTTTTGTTCCTTATGATTATTTGGTGTAATAAATGGGCTGTTCTGTAGTTTGCCCCAGTTTGGATTTTGCTGAGTGCATCCCTGTGGCGCAGTTAGTTAACATGTGCTCTTAAAATAGAACTTTTAAGTTAGAAAAAAAAATGAATATACTATTATGAAAAAGGAGTAAACTATTCTTATTTTCACAACATTTAGATCTTAAAACAACATGCTCTACTGCAAAGCTTCTTTCTAAATGAAATTAATTTATCTAGTGCTAAATGACTTTGGGCTTTATTAAAAATGTCAATTTTATCACAAAATAAATGACTAAAAATAGTCCTGGATTGGATAAAAAAAAAAAGAAATATAACACTGGCAAGATTCATAATACATGGATTTTGGTGGTTTTATTACAAGAGGATGAAAATCCTCTACACAAACACTTCTGGGAAGCTATTGCTATTTATACGCAATTCATTTGTTACCTCTTCTACACAGCAATGCGTTCTCTAGAAGTCTCCAAAAGCCCATGAAGAGATTTGTGCCTCGGCTTCTCTCCTTCCATATCAAAACCATGCAAAATCAGTAGATTCCTTATATTACTCAAAGTTTTGTTACTCTACCTAAATCTATGAGGTTAAGAACGCTTTAATCCTACTTTAGGTGGCATTAGTCACACCTGTATCATAATGCATTCACTGGGGACACCACTCAAGAGCAGTTTTTTAAATTCTATTTTTAAATAGGAAAATAAGTTTCATGAGTTATGTGAAAAACATAAGGAAAATGATCATCAATTCATAACACCTTTTCTACACTGAACAGTCACCTGACAGCCAACTCTTTGGGAGGACAGGATTTGTCTTTTGCATTATTGTATTTCCTACGGAAATAAACAGAATGGCTATTGTCCTACTAGATGCTCAATAAATGTTTACTGAATGTATATAAACAGCTAAATTTATGACCCTACACAATTATGCAAGACCTTAGTGTTAATGTTAATGAATTCATTCTCTAAATATTTCTTTTATTTATTGTGTATCTGGTACTGGATGATAATTCAAAGCCATGCCTAAGTTTTTCCTACTTTTCACCATTGTTTGATTATGTAGCATTGAATATTCTGTCTGATCCACAAACCAAAAGACCAGAGAAGTGGGTAGTAGGTATGATAAACTCATGCAAAGAAAGCCACCACTGGATCTTACTAGAGGGAGAAGAGAATATACTTTTTGTAGGAGAAGTGAGAGCCATGAGGTCTTCAAGGACAGCGCTCAGGTCTTATTCATCCTTGTATTCCTAGCTCCTGGGAGAGTACCAGGTACAAGTTAGATGTTCAGTGTCAAAATGTGGGTGTAACCAATAAAATTGGGCAGCCACCATTTGCTAGGTTTACTTCTGAGCTAGCCAGGCCCTGTTCTGAGCACTTTACATGTATTGCTTTATGGATTTTAACCTAAGGGAAAAGTACGGGCTCTGAAGCCTGATTGCATTCAAATCTGGCCTCTGCCACTTACTAGCTGTGTAATATTTTCTGTGTTCTAGTTACTGTAAATGTAAAAAGAGGATAATATTAATATCAATCTTGTTAAGATAGTTGTGAGGAATAAATGAATTAGGATTTGTTAAACCCTTGGAACAGCAACTGGCATATGGCAAGTGCTGTTTAAGTAGCCACTATTGGTAGCTCATTTAACCCTCATCACAGCCTTAAAGGTAAGTACTAATTATCCCATCCTGCAAAGGAGGACTCTGAGCAACCTGCATGGGCAACTTCCCCCAGCTTATGCACCTAACATGTGGCCGAGTGCCAGGGTCTGTGCTTTCATACTTCCTGCTGTAAGCTGCTTCTCACAGAGCCACAGGCCCTCCATGTTTCACAGGCTGTCTCCCAGCGACACAGTGATGACCCAACATTTGTGTTTTTTATAGCATCACACAGAAGGGTGTCAGAATTAGCGGCTTGATAGGCTATTATCTTAGAAAATATAGAAGGAAGAAGAAGGGAATGAGAAGGAAGATTTTTTTCCCCCTTTCTATTAAAAAACTTCTTATCTACCTGGAGAATGGAACTCATTATTTTCCATACCTTGCTCAATTCTTTTTCATGATTTGGTTTATCTGGGGTCACTGAAAACACCTCTTTCTTTTTCCTTTCTGGTTCTTTAGGAGGAGGTAAATAAGATGATTCAAGTCTGCAAATTAAAATGAGTAAAAATTAAGCTTAACTTGATAAATTGGTATGATATATTGTAAATTTAGATCATTGTAGTTTACAGAGATTATTAGTTTGTTGGAAACATTTCTAGTTTTCTAGTACAATTAGAATGTGTTGTACACATTATTTTTCAGTCCCCTTTTGTTTCCCACTCAGTGATATACTGTGAGCATTTTATGCAATATTCTCCTAAAGCATTATTTCAGGACCAGTCTTATATGTTTCTCATTTGCTATGATTTGGAAGAGGTAAAAAATGAAATTTCCTGTTTTTCAATTCTTCCTAAGCAATTTCAGGGAGTGAAATGCTGAACTGAATGGATAAAAAACTCATGATCTTGTAAATTTCATTAAGTGAATGTAACAAATGTCAAACTTCAAAGTGGACAAATTCAAAGAAGACAGTAATCATGCTAATATAAATATATAAAGGAACAATCATTTGTCATGTAGGAAAGGAGTGTTGGAATTATTTTTAATAACTCTCAGAACATGTCAACCCTAGGTGCTTCTACAACTGAAAAAAAGAAAAACAAAAAGCTAACAAAATCTTAGCATTAATGAAAAAGTTTCTGAAAATGAATGAAAACACTGCAGTGCTACTTCTATAAAACTAGTGTGCATTTGAGCTGCATTCAGTATCTGGGCTGCGTTATCTTAATACAACTGTAAAGAAGAAACAGAGTCCAAATAAAAGAAACCAAAACATTAAAGAAGATAAAACTACATTCACATGAGAACCAACTCAAAGGATTATAAACTTTCAAATGGGCATGATGAAAGCTAAGGAGTCTTATACACAAAGTCTAAAATACAATGTAATCTGGAAAAGTTAAATATCTTTCATCAAATCTCAGAATACTAGAACTGAGGAAAACCGTGAAAAGAGAAAAATACAGTTTGGAGACCAAAATAAATACCAACTTAAAGGAGAGCAATGAGGCATAACAAAAAAGTGACATTGGTCAAATATGTGAACAACTGCAAGATTTTAGATTAAATCATGTGTTGAAGGAAAGTTGGCAATGTTTGCAGTCCAGCAGAGGCCTCGTGAGACAGCTTTGTAGAAAGTACGCACAGTCCTCTTCCCAGAACTAGAGCTACACATGGGCCGAATGGTTTGCTCTTCTAGACAATTATGCTTTTAGGCAAGTACATTTTTTTGTGCGAAGACATTTCTCACCAACTCACTGCACAGGGACAGTACCTTGCATATAATATTTTTCCATTATATTTATTAATGACTGGTGAAGATGATATATAGCTTGCACATGGAGTGTTCAATAATGCTGACTAGCTCATAGGCATTCTGCCATCCTTAGTGAGACATACAGTAGGCCATTTTGGGGGATTTTAATTTGGCATTTGTTGTTAAGTGTAGACCTTAAAGAAATGTGAGCAGGTCCCACAACTTTGAAGAAATAATTATTGCCTTTAAAGCAGTATGATTATCTTTCAGTAAACTATTCCTCACTCACCATTTGGCTAATCAATTGTCCTTAGCCTTGAGATTTAAGAAGGATTCAAGTTCTAATGAGACTTTGAACATCATTGAATGGTTACAGTAGTCAAACTGCCTAGTCATAAGCATAAAACATTTAATAATCCTCAGCAATCCCATTACCTTTGTGGTTCTGGAGTCTGCAATATCTGTCTGATTTTAAAAGAAAAAAAAATATCTCTTCTAACAAAACCCATAATGGAACTGACAAGATGGTGAATGTGGAGGCCAATATAAATAATATTTACAAGTGAACAAGTTAATAACAGGTTTATAGACAGTCAAAATAAAAGCATTTGGAAAATATGGAATAAATCTTATTTATCAACATATAACATTAAATACCAGCTCAATACTATTATTTTTGCAATATCCTAAAGAATAAAAGTTCTATGAAAATTTCTGACTCAGTGTGACACATTAAATGTTCACAAATCACAACATGATATAATTTTCTAGTTAAAGATATTAATTTAGAAGATAAAATAATCACTAATTTTACTTTTAATATCTAATATTACTCAATAATTAACAGTATCAAAACAAAACAAATAGACTTTTAATTCTACTTGCAAATATAAAGTTCTTAAAAATATTCAAACATCATGTTTTGAACAGTGTCAGGCTGCTGAATATAAAGAATTTACCTTTTTTTATTTTCTTGAGCATTTTGGCACTCTCCCATTCTTAATAATTCTCTATGCAACTGCAGTCGTTCCATTTCTGTAATTCTCAAGAGATCATCACGTGACTGCAACTCACTTTTCACCTCTGAGAGTCCTGCTTCCATGGCCTAAATAAAAATATCAAAAATTTTCAATGCTTATATTTGGATATCATGATGCATATGATACATTAAAAAATATTTTACATCTGTGAACCAGCCTGATTTCAAATGAGCTGATATTTAGTCCTTACTTATGTTTAGGCTCTGTCTTACAGAATTTAATTCCTTCATTCATTTATTCAACATTTACTGAACTCTTATGAGTTCAGCACTGACGATACAGATACTGATTTGGTTCTCAGTGAGCTTACAGTCTAGTGATAAAGACAAAGAATAACTAATCACACAATATGGTTACACTGTATATAAATTTGAAAGCAGAAAACATAAAAGTATGAATAAAACATCAATGCATAAAATTTGGATGAATGCAAATAATTCCCAATTTAAACAAGATAACAGCTCCCCACCACCAAAATAAAGAATTTCAAAGCTGGCCAACAAG